TACATTCCTCTGGGACCAATTTAAAAATAGGAAGAAGAACATTTAAAAAGTAACACCCAATGGCATAAATACGACTTTTTATGTGTTGAAACCCATTGTCTGTCAAAGACTCCCGTAGGGAGTCCCAAAGCGCTAGTTCAGGGCTATCGTCGGACACCAAACTTGGCCTGAACTGACCGTGGAATCGTGCGTCACGGAGAGACAGACACAGAAAACAGAGCTTTAATAAAGGGAAAGTTGATCAGATCGGAGTGGGGCCGGGGAAGGGGGCGAGGACCGTTGAAAATTTGCTGACGATACTCCAATACTAGTTAGGGATAGGGGTGTGCAAAGTGAACATTGTGAACACTATGTGAATCCTGGTTCACATAGGTTCACATTGTTGTCCTTATTGAATTGGTCCATCGATTTAGCCCATTTTTTGGCTAGAAAACTAAAATCTGATGTAGACGGTCTTATGTCCGTTTTTCGTGTAGATTCTGAATATTTTATTTGTTTATCCACTTGATTAGTAATTTTGCTTAGAAAATACTCATTTAATCAAGGTTCACATGTGAACCTTGATTACAATAGCCATTATAAAGCAAAATTACTAATCAAGTGGAGAAACAAATAAAATATTCAGAATCTACACGAAAAACGGACATAAGACCGTCTACATCAGATTTTAGTTTTCTAGCCAAAAAATGGGCTAAATCGATGGTTTTAGTCGAGAACAGGGTTGAATTGAAAATAGGGTTCACAAGGTTCACATTGCACACCCCTAATTAGGGATACATTACTCGATTTTCCTACTGCAAATTTTTTATCACCGTTTAGGAAGTTAAAAATATGGAAGAATACGACAACTTGCTATCTGTCGCGATATATCACCGAGCAATCATTCTTATTAACGGAGCTATCGCAACTATTTTCTATCCGTTACTTATCTACTTGGCTTTCTGTCACACGCCGCGCGAGACTAATCGATTTGTCAAATATAATATTGTCAATGTGGCTACAACTGCTTGGATTTACTCAGTCATTTTGATGGTTTGGCAACCTGTGCCTCTGTTCCCTTATATGGGTAAGGTGCTAAAAATGATTAGATGATGGAGAAAAACTGGAAATGCTACAAAAACTAACAGTAACACGAAATAGTATGTATCTAAAGTCTAGGATTTTTAGAATTTTTCCGTACCCTTATCGGTAACGATAGGTTTTGGGTCATGGGATCATTCATATGGATAAGGTTTTAGTAGAATGTTAAATTTGTGGATGGTACTTAGGGATGTGCAATGTGAACCTTGTGAACTCTGGTTCACATAGGTTCACATTGTGGACCTTATTGAATTGGCCCATCGATTTAGCCCATTTTTTGGCTAGATAACTAAAATCTGATGTAGACGGTCTTATATCAGTTTTTAGTGTAGATTCTGAATATGTTATTTGTTTATCAACTTGATTAGTAATTTAGTAAGCTAAGACTCTGGGCTACAAATCGGTATATTACTTGCCACATCTCGATTCAAGATTCTCGAGATTTAAGTATTTTTGTCTCAAATTCTCGAATTTGCAAAAAAAGTTGAAATTTTGAGACAAAAATACTTAAATCTCGAGAATCTTGAATCGAGATGTGGCAAGTAATATACCGATTTGTAGCCCAGAGTCTTAGCTTACTAAATTACTAATCAAGTTGATAAACAAATAACATATTCAGAATCTACACTAAAAACTGATATAAGACCGTCTACATCAGATTTTAGTTATCTAGCCAAAAAATGGGCTAAATCGATGGTTTTAGTCGAGAAGAGTGTAGAGTACAGAGAAACGAAACAAAGGAAATAGTAACGAGCAGTTTTTGAGTAAAATTTCATATTTTATTTCATTTTTTCTAGATTAAAGCGGAGGTTAGAGATAAAATTTCAACAAAAACCATATGCTTAGATTTTGTGTTCATTTTCATTTTTCAGGCGGATTCGCTTTCGGCCCATTCCGACACATGGACTTGCCGTGTGTCGGTAATGTGTACGTAATGTACAAAATTACACTGGCTCTAATATTTCACATCCAGCTGTCTTCTATGATGGCTTTCATCTCCAACTATGCCATTATCAAGCCAACTTCTGTGATAAACCGTTTAGTGATGAGCAGATCGTGTGTGGTCCTCGCAATATTTATTGGCTTCAATGTGATAGCGGCTTCCTTAATATATTTGATGCTTGATTCAATGGTGAAAGACAAATACGAAACGATGCAAACTGTATTTTCATATCTCAATAATTCTGGGTAAGTTTGAGAAAAAAAGTTGGAAATCCATTTTTGGAATGTAAAATTAGCTGTAGACAGGATTTTTCTTGTAAAAGACTAATACTAAAAGTATAATACCGTAACAGACTAATAATTATTCTAGAAATCCTTCAAAGGCTTCCACAATCCATGACCTTCTTATAATTGCGAGCGAAAGAGAGCCGACCCTTGTTGGATATCAATACACTCACCCGCTGACAATCGCTTACCTCGCTACTCTAGTCTTGATATTGAGCATGTATACCATTGTGATAGTCACGATTAATCTGAAAATCAGACATCAATTCCAAGAGATGCGCGACTTGGTCAATTCTTCGACTCATCGTCTTCAAATTATGGTTTATAGGGCATTCTTGATGACAACAATATCGCTTCTGGTCTTCAATTTTATACCTATCAGGTAATGTATTCAGAAGAAATATGTTTCGAAAATGTCAGTATTATTAGTATATTGATTGTATACAGTCGTCCCTCTCTAATCCGACCCTTCCTAAACCGACGTTTGGCCGAAACGGTATTTTTGTATGAAAATTCCCTCTCTAATCCGACACATTTTTGGGGTCAGGGCAGAAAAAAGACAAAAGGATCCTGAATTTCTCGCCAAAAATTCAAATTTTCAAATAAAGGTTTTATTCTTACTAAAAATTTGTATTTTTGCTCATTTTTGGGATCACCCTCTCTAATCCGACGGTATTTGGCCGAGATGGATTTTTTGTATGGAAATTCCCTCTCTAAACCGACCCTCTCTACTCCGACACATTTTGGCCAAAACGGATCGCGTCGGATTAGAGAGGGAAGACTGTATTTATAAAATTATTCATCATTAAACAATTTAGTGTGGCCGCTATGACCATTATTAACTGGATTCCCAATTATTACGTGACAATGGCCGCGTATACAGTTCAGTCATTTTTGGCACCGGTCTCAATACTGAACATCATCTGGATGATTCCACCCTACAGACGAGCAGCTAAACGACTTCTATTCAAAGCGATTCGAAAGGATACACTAGGCGATGCGACAAAAGTAAACCCAATAGAGACCACACACATCGAGTCGTCGGTTAAATTATAATTATCCGGTTTTGTACGCTCCAAGTTTTTAGCATAAAAAATTTTCATTTCGTTGTCTTGAAAGAATTATTTTCTGTGATAGCTTCCTATCGAAGGTCTTGGATATGTAATACATTATCGTATACGGAGGTCGTGGAATGCGAACATGGCGCTTTGCTTACGGTATGCCTGTAAGGTACAACGACTCTATATTTAGTCAGAAGACGTGCTGGATCGAGTCCAGACCTCACATCACGATATTTCTGGACACGTAGTTTTTCACTTTAGTCTAAAGCCAAGGTATACGGTAATATCTGTAACAAAGACCCGTATACAGACTTGATACTGACTAGATTCTGGATATGTTATTTGTTTCTCAACTTGACTAGTAATTTTGCTTTATAATGGTTATTATAACCAAGGTTCACATGTGAACCCCAAAAGGTTATTATTATATTATTATTATAATATTAACTTACTTTCGGTTGAATGGCGTCGTCAATGGGACTGGGATGTATTCGGGAAAAGGCTAAGATAGCACTGTTTTGTTTGGATGATTATTTTTTGAAGTTAGTTTTTGTAAGAAAATATGAATTGATCCGGTCAATACTAAAGGCTAAAACAGAACTATTTTCATTGATGATCAATTTATTTATTTCAATATCAAATTGATTTAGTTAATTTTAAATAAATTAAATTGGGAACTCGTCGATGTTCCCAGCGAGACCGGTACCACTCGTCTTCTCTCACCGAGAGGAAGCGATTGAGGCATCACACGCCCGGATCCGAGCGGCGACGGCGATACTTGACCTTTTATGTGACCCACGTGGCTTACGTAACTCACGTTATAACGTATGTAACCCCCGATTTTGACCTTACTGATCCCCTAAAATTATGGGTTTTTGAGGGGGTACTCGCGAGTTTAGGGTCCGGGAGCGTCGAAAAGCGGGAGATTCTGTTGCGGATCCACGAACACAGTGCGCATTAGAGGGACTCGATATTCATATTTTCGCGCCAAGCAAAAATTGAACATTAATAACTTTGTCAACTTATGGTTTGTTGGGAAGATAAATGTCCCCGCGACATCTAACCCAAGTTTTGAAACCGGCTGGAATTTGAATGATATTTTTAAAATATAATCTTTGCCAGCAATCCATGGTTTCACACCATGGAAATTTTTAGAGTGACAATGGTCGTAGAAAACTTCAACGGTCAGGCATTGAAGGCCTTGGAAGGAGTGTTTTTAGAGACAAATCCGCAGCACTTCAACCTATGATTGATGCTGCTCATATAAAGGATATAAGACCTATATCCATATACTAGCTGTACAGATGGTGCCTTAGGCTGTTTATCTCTTGCCTGTTTATCTACGCCTTTTCACTCGGACCTACGACCCTCAATCAGGATTCATCGTATTCATGCACCCCTAAGAAAGACCTTTCAAATTGTGGGCATAAGTGTGACTAACAGAAATAAGCACCCCCAAGAATGCCCTTCCAAATTTTGTGACTCACGGACATAAGCCGCGTATTATAAAAGAACACATAACGGTATAGCTAATATGTAAGCCTACCTTTACGAAATTTTAGTAAAAACACACAAAAACGAATATTAATCGCTTTTGGACTTTAGTTTAATATAAGAGCAGGAAAAAATTTATGCCTCCGCCGAGCTTTGATCTCGGGACCTTCGCATCTCTTCGTTTACTTATAAGTACGACGTTCTAACCAACTGAACTACGGAGGCAACTGAGAGTCGCCTGTACAATTTATGAGATGAAGATTTAGCTTGATAACATGGATTGGATCAGCTTTACAGAAGAGACAATTTTATTTCACAAACATTACATTGTACATGTCTAGCATTTTACGACAACGATTGTCGCTTTTGTAACAGAGATCGATGGAGATTCTTGATGGCACTTGAACAAGGATGATTGATGCTGCTCATATAAAGGATATAAGACCTATATCCATATACTAGCTGTACAGATGGTGCATAGAAAAAGCATATAAATATGACCGAATTTTGGTGGCTATTTTTGAGAAGTTACTGAGCATTGAAAAAATCGGAGAGTAAAAGCCTTAGCTAGCAAGATTTCTAGAGAGCGGAATGCGGGCCCGACACGTCCCTTCAGTTAGGCGATGGCAATTAAGCCTTGCCGGTTTCCAGTAAGTGTCGGGCAAAGGGGACCCAATCCTAGCATACAGCCTTGCCAACAGGCGTCGGCGTTGCCACCGCAGCTGTACACTAGAATCGTGTTCTAGATTCCAATCTATGTTAGCTAAGTGTTAAACTGTCCTAAAGTTCCAATTCACAGCAAGTCTCAAAAAATATTACAAAGGAGAAGAGAATTGAGTCTCTTTTCACAAATGACCTTGGGCATGCATAGTCAGATTGGATGCGAGAGATAATTTGGCGGGAAGCCCGCTGGAAAGTTGGTATGTGCTGCGATGATCTCTAATCTTTGTCTGGCCTATCACGTGACATGCAAAGCAGTAATATTTCGTTACAATATTTAGATGGAAGAGGTCTTATTCTCATTTTTTTAGACTAATTTGATACATTCTGAAAGCAAGTAAAAAATTTATTCCTTTAGGGTCTGGGCCAAGGACCAGACCTTTTATTTCCGGTAGTGTTATGAGTTGTGCTAAAGTTTGTTTGTTGCCAGAGTTTTAAGAATAATATTTTGGACTTAATCTTTTTTGGTAGCATGAGATAATTCTCTTAAAAAGTTTCTGAAATGACCATTTTTGGTACGACCATTTAATAAACTAAAGTACAGAAATAGTAATGCCACTCAAAGATCAGAGATCATTGAGAAAGGCCTGTTTTCTCCATATAAAATTTTCTTGAAACGCCGAAAGCTTCAGGTAAAACTTATACCGGAAGTATTTTTGTAGTCAAAAAATTTTCTCTCTATTTACATAAGCCAATAATTTTTCAATCAAATTTCGAATTTTTCGGGATATTTTTTATACAGTCCCTCTAAAATTACGCAGTCCCTATCCGGTTTCCTTTTTGGCGCCATTTTATATTGCGCTCGAGAGTGTATAACTGAGAAGTCAAGTTGAGTAAATGCGTTCAATGACCTTGGGAAATGGCGGGCTCTGTGGTCTGGATGCGCTTCAAGGCAAGTTTTTTAGAGATGAAAATTTCAACTATGAGTGCATTATGCAGGCATTAAGCATGCTAGGAGCGCCACAGCGGCTACGCCGCTACCAATTTTTTCTGGGTAAATGGGCTAAAAAACTTTTTCGACAAAAAAATTTTTTCGTACCCCGGGGTACCCCGGACAGTTTTTTGAGCCCGGATTCGGATTCAGCACCATCGAAAACCCCCGGGTGCAAAAAATGAACATCGCAGCAGCTTTGGTTCAAAAATGTCAAATTTTGGCCAAAAAAGCCACTTTTTGGCAAAAAAGGCCACTTTTTGAGATCTCCGCTCCCCAATTTTTGCGGCTTTGTATACCAACTTTCTGAGACCTACAAAATGAGCTATCATAGACCCCTGTATCGGGGGTACAAAAAAAGTTTTCCTTGTAGCGCAAAAAACACCCATTTTTGCCACTTTTTGGCAAAAAAAGGCCACTTTTTGATATCTCCGCTCCCCAATTTTTGCGGCTTTGTATACCAACTTTCTGAGACCTACAAAATGAGCTATCATAGACCCCTGTATCGGGGGTACAAAAAAAGTTTTCCTTGTAGCGCAAAAAACACCCATTTTTGCCACTTTTTGGCAAAAAAAGGCCACTTTTTGATATCTGCGCCAAAAAATTTTTTGCATTTCCGTCTAGACTCGTCGAGACCTACAAAATGAGCTATCACACACCCCTCTAGCGGGGGTACATAATTCTGGGTGAAAGGTACACCCCTAGGCCCACTTGCGCTTTAGGGTGATTAGATAAGAGCAGGAAAAAATTTATGCCTCCGCCGAGCTTTGATCTCGGGACCTTCGCATCTCTTCGTTTACTTATAAGTAAAGACCCCAAAAATATTTTTTTAAATTCCGGTTTTAATTAATTAAAATATTTAAAAAAATCGCAAAATATTTAAAAAAAATATTTTTTTAAATAGCTATTTTTTGCCGATTCTAGACTTTAATTCTGCTTTTTTAGCCTTCATTGTTACTTCAGACTAAATTAAAAGCTAAAATTCAACAAAATATAACAAATTTTGGAAAAAAATGGCAAAATAAAAAAATTTTTTTTGAAAAATTTCGTAAAAAAAATTTTTCGGCAAAATTTTTTGGTAAAATATCTCCGCCAAAAAAAATTTCGCGGCGGCCTTCGGCCGCCGCGAAAATTTTGCCAAAAAATCACAAAATTTGTCCAAAAATGCCAAAATATTTACTAAAATATAAGTAAAATGCCCAAAATATGCAAAATATTTTTTAAATAAAAAAAATATTTTTAAAATATTTTAGTTAAAAAAAGTCCAAAATATTTTTTAAATATTTTTTTTATTTTAAAAATATTTTTGGGGTCTTTACTTATAAGTACGATGAAAATGGCAAAATAACCATCTAGTACGTCCCTGGTTCATACTTATCTAAGTATTTTTAATGCAACTGGACAGAACTTTACTGTTTTGAGGACTTGCTTAGTGTCACAAGGATCATACATTCCTCTGGGACCAATTTAAAAATAGGAAGAAGAACATTTAAAAAGTAACACCCAATGGCATAAATACGACTTTTTATGTGTTGAAACCCATTGTCTGTCAAAGACTCCCGTAGGGAGTCCCAAAGCGCTAGTTCAGGGCTATCGTCGGACACAAAAAAAAATATTTTTGGGGTCTTTACTTATAAGTACGACGTTCTAACCAACTGAACTACGGAGGCAACTGAGAGTCGCCTGTACAATTTATGAGATGAAGATTTAGCTTGATAACATGGATTGGATCAGCTTTACAGAAGAGACAATTTTATTTCACAAACATTACATTGTACATGTCTAGCATTTTACGACAACGATTGTCGCTTTTGTAACAGAGATCGATGGAGATTCTTGATGGCACTTGAACAAGGACGATATTTGTTTTCTGTATCGCTTCACGATTATTAAAGTGCACAGCGGATTTATTACCTAAAATATTTGATATGCCAAATTTTGAAGGAAGACGAATGAATTATATTTTTTAGGCTCCTAATTTTGCTATACATTCCAGATGGCACGGTATTAGGTTGTTCACTAAGTTTTGACACTCAAGACAGGTTTTTTTACCGGAAAATCGAGGGTCCGGAAATTTTGCCGATTTCACCTATATAGGGGTTTTTTGATGCGGGGAATTCAGGTCAGATTTTAGTTGGTCCCGCCACGAAAACAAGGAAAACCGCTATTTTCTTCAAAAAATGGCCTTTTTTTGGTCAAAAATGACCCAAAAATGCTCATTTTTGGCGCGATACGAAAAACCAATTGCAGATTCGGAATCAGCACATCAAAATATCCCTAAAAACAAGTTTTCTGAAAAATCCGAAAAAATTTGATTTTTTGGTTTTCAAACAAAAATCGATTTGGAAAAAATCAAATATGGAAACTTTTTCTACAAAACATGTTTTGTAGTTAACAACCTAATACAAGCGAAAAATTAGTTCGCAGTTTGTATCCGTCAGAGCCGAATTAATGAGGTGACATCTTTTCATGTCTCCATTTTTGAGAATGGTGTCCGATCGATTAAAATTTTTTGGACTGTTCTGCAGATTTGAATTTCTAAAAAATACGGGATGCAAAAAGAGCAATAACCACGAATTTTTGTGTAAAGCTGCTTACTGGAACCCAATAAAAGAAAATTGTGATGAAAGTGATGGCACTTGACGATTGAGGAGCCTTCGAGATTTGGGCATATCCCATATATGCGAAGGCAACAAATATCATTCCCAACGGCAGAATCGCCTAAAATGTTCCATACATTAATTTTTTAACTCTAAAAATTTAAGAAATTTTTAGATTATTATCTTAAAAAGTAACTACCTGCACAACCAAAGCAACACTTATTTGGCTGTTTAGCTCGTGCACAGTCCTCTGAGATATGAACTGCGAAGCCATTTTGAATGTTTTCCGGAGCTTATAGCTGCACCAAGCAATGATGGCATAAATTAAGACGAGAGTAGCCAACGTGAACACGTTGGTATAGAACCTAGTCACGGATGACTGGAATTTGGAGAATTTATTTCAGCTTTCAAACATATATATACCGTAAACTCTCTAATTTAACCCCCTCTTGTTTTACCCCCCTCTAATTCTCCCCCCCCTAGAGGTCGATCGAGTAATTATGCCCCCCCCCAAAATATCGAATAAAATTCAAAATTTTTTGGGCGGGAATTCAAATTTTGAATTTTTTGAGCAAATTTGAGCAAAAATCCCAAAAATTTTTGAAACCTCGATCGCGTAATTTTACCCCCTCTATTTTTACCGCCCCCTCTATTTCCCCCCCATTGAAGTCGATCGAATAATTCTGCCCCCGGGGGTTAAATTAGAGAGTTTACGGTATGTTATACTACCGTAGAGTTATTTTTAACAGACAAAAATAATGACATACTAGCGGGCCAGTACTGGCTACGCCAGTAGCAGAGTTCACTTTCATCCCAACTCTCTTCCCTCAAAAGGTTGTTCGGGAGTAACTTTTTTTAGTGCTAGTCCGGGATGAGGGTCTTCGGCCCTCATACCGGAGAAATAAGCACTGGTAAGAATGACCCTTCCGAAAAATTGGCTTCAGGCCATCAAAATGCGTCATAGACGGAGAAAA